GGGTTTTCTTATCCAATGCTAACAAACTAAAAGAAACAGCTGTGGCCATTTTCCAGGAATGAAAACAGATATTTTTTAACATGTAGCTTCAATCTAGGCCTGTTAGAGTACAAGACATTAAAACCCAGATGTAGCTTGCCAGGATTGCACGACAATTCAAACACAAACAGCCAAATACAAATCTGGAAACAACAAATAAATATTTGCATTTCTGCATACTGCCTGGGTGGACCCGTGTGCTCTGTAAATTTTGCAGAAATCAATCTGCAGTGCGAATCAAACAGCAACCATATTGCACTGCTAAGTCATGCATCGAGAGCAGATGATTGGATTTGTCACACATATGGCTCAGAAGGTGTCGGCTCTGGTGCCGGGCCGATATTCATTTTAACGAACAGGAGCACAAGACCTGTGGGAAGGACCTAAGCTTGGGGGCTTAATCTGATACAGCTGTGCCAGAATCCGCTGTCTGCTCGGGTACACACATGCGTTTTTAAACATCCAGAATTGTTGATAATTTTTGTTCTACCCACCCAGTTTGTAGCTTTCTCTCTCAGCTGCGATCCTGTGATCACACCCAGGGAAGAGTGAAGAAGTACAGGCGGACTCCTCCTCCCGGCTTACCTTCAGCGTGACATCGAGCCACTTGTCTTTTCACACTGCACAAGCAGCCCAGCCCGTACTGGTGAATTAGCGCCGATGAAAGTGAAAAAGCACCCAGGAGTCCGTAGGGGCCTCTGTATTGCTTAGAGTTGAGAGAGCCTGGTCAAATGTTCCCTCTACACTAGTGGCACTCAGCCAACTGTGCGCCACTGATTCAGAAATCCCAGTCACAGTGGGCTGGTGACGTGATTTAGATACAAACCCATTATCACCAGTAAAACACCTTTAACGGTTGAGCCACGAAGGAGCCCCCACTTTATTTAACAAACTGTCTAATTCACTCGGAAACAAAAGGTGCAGACGGATCTTGTAACAATCTTTTTAAAAACTCTTCACGCATGCAAATAGTTGTACTTCCTTACGTCCTAGCGTGGAAAGAGGTGACATGCTATCTTTTCATCGGCAGCCAAAGAGATTTTGTTTTCAGTTTAGCTATATTCCCCTGCTCCATTTTGGTACAAAACCTGAGCAGGCTGACAAGACACAGTCGACACTTTGACCCCTTAGGGGAGCATGAAATCAACTTGTTGATAAAAGTCAGGACAGGGCAAACACCTGGTAGATAACTCATAATCTAGACAAGTGCATGGTCTTGCATGAAGGCAGTAAAAATTAACTATACTTACAATTAGGGAAAAGCTCATCTAGAAGAGGATACTTAAGAAAAGGTGTTTGTGTTGACACATCACAAACTTCTTCTAGACAATGTAGAGAAGTTAAAAAAGGCAAACAAAATGGTAGGATATATAATAGAATTGAAAACTTAGGAATGTTGTGTTAAAAGTGTATTACACACTAGTGTGGCTTAGTTTAGAGCATTGTGTACAGTTTGGTCACCATATTAAAGAAAATATGTTACTGCTCTGGAATTAGTCCAGAGAAGAGCCACCAAATACATTCTGGGGCTTAAAGGGAGTGTCCCGCACTGACAGGGTGGAGAAGCTGAGTCTCTTTAGTCTGAAGGGAGTGTCCCACACTGACAGTCTGAGGGAACTGAGTCTCTTTAGTCTGAAGGGAGTGTTCCACACTGACAGGCTGGAGGAACTGAGTCTCTTTAGTCTAAAGGGCGTGTCCTGCACTGACAGGCTGGAGGAACCGAGTCTCTTTAGTCTGAAAGAAGGGCCCGAAACTGACAGGCTCAACTCAACTTCTTTAGTCTTGAACTGAGAGGACTACAAGGGCACTTGATACAAGGATAGAAATAATTGAGAGTCAACCCAGCGGATTTCTTCAATATCAACAGTGAAGTAAGAATCAGGGGACACATGTGGAAATTAAATGGAAGTGCCATTTAAAGCTGTAGGGAAGTAGGGAACAACCTATCCAATCCATGTTGTTAAAGTCAATATCCTGGTTTATTATAAGAAATGATTGGACGAGATCCTTGGATCAACTGACCACTTATGACCAAATGATCCAGAAGGGCGAAGTGATTCCTTGTCTGTAACCTTTGTCATGTTCTTTTGGGTCGGCCCCCCCACACACACTCAATGACGAGACCCTCTATCGAGGAGCTGGATGGATTACAGGCTGAGGCTGGGAGCAGAGCATATCAATTTTCCAGAAAGGCACCGTTCCTGCACGGCACAACGCAATTGGATCCAACGGCAAGACTAGACAAGAGCTGAGGTTTTCTCTGTGAAGGCTTGCATGCTCCGCTGCCCAAATAGGAAATGGAGGAAAGATGCTTCACGTATCCAGTCCACAAATGTACAGTATATTACACACATCAGAATTTTCCAGTGTCAAACTCACGTGAACAGGCCAGTTTTCCCTATAAAAGGGACTGAAAATCAAGTTATGTAAAAAAATCGCTGAGATATCAACAGTATAATCCTGTAAAGAATGTGGTGCACCTCATCCTTAACACTGATCTAGTCTTACTAAAGTGGAAACCACTCACTTTAAAACCCATTCACAGGAGCATTAAATCCAGTGTAACATGCATTTGATATACCTCTACAACATGGATGTCAAAAGTCAAGAATATAAAAGTAGACAAGACTCCCACTGCATAGCAGAAAGATCTGTTCCAGGTTTTGTTATTTCACACTTGTTTACATATGGATTACACTGACATAGACAGAAGGGGGAAGTTAATATTGATTTTTTTTATTGATCTTGAAAATTTGTATGAAATCAGCTCTGGAACACTGAAATGTGTTCAACTGCTCGGCACTGGAAGTCTGTCTCCCTTCACTGTAATAGAGATGCAATGTGGGACACCCATGCACTCACTGAGCATTGCCAACATAGCCCTGAGAAATGTCCCCCACTCCATTTTGTTTCACAGGACACCACTGTATGAACTAGTGAAACCTATATTCAAGCCTTTTTTCAAACCGTCATTTTTTTAAAATCAAGACCACAAAGGCCACAGAAAAAGAACAAGCATATGAATATGTGAAAATCCCAGTTTAATCTGGATTTTTGGATTTCCTTGGTTTTTGGATTTCATGGAATTCTGGGAATCTGCTGTCAGGATCTGCTCCTTGAGTAAGGCTCTGGGAAACGACTCTGCCATCGTAACCTGCCTTCACAGGCCCATCTTCCCTGCTCATCTCCCCTGCCTGGATTCTGCCCTACAGAGCCACATGGCCTTTTCCTTTAGCACAGGGGCCCCAGTCTGGCTCCACAGGAGCCCTGAGTCAGCAGTTTTTATAAGGAACCTTTACATCAGTTAGTTCAGGACGGAAAGCAAATGGCTTCCTCATAAAATGGCAGGCGATTTGTCAAATTACAGTTTTCCAGTACACATCTGAAAATAAACATCTTAGTTCTGATTGACTTTCACACGCTCCCAAAATTAAGATTTAGGGTGATCTGTAAGACTTAAGCACCTGGTGGAATCTCTCTCACCTGATTTGCTGTACAGTGGGGTTGCTGATGCATTAATTGCTGCTGTGTGTCTCCCAGGTGGGGATGCTCATTTATGTGCGTATAAATTATATAAAGTGTTTTGGGATCCTTCAGGATAAGCTCCAAATACTACTACTAATGGGGCTCTGCCAGACCATGAATTGAGATCCCTGCATTAGTAGGATTGTTGTAACTCTGTATCTTATCCATCCCCACCTACAGAACTCAAGGAATGGAGTTCGGTATCATTGCCTAGTTGCATAAGACAGCACAAAACTCCACTTAGTCTTCCTTTTCAATACCCCAGTACAAAACACCCCATCACACCCAGTGCTGTGACCCGGGCAAGCTTGAACAAGGCTCCTCCTACTGTTACCTTAACATGTAGATCATTACCAAGTGGGACTCAAGGCCGGGATTATTAGCTTCCCATCAAACAAGTGGATGTTAGAAGTGACCATAATTTGTAAAACCGATGAATAAAGTGCTGAATGGACAAATGAATTACTGGCTTCTGAAGTGGAAAAGCGGAGTCAAACCTCTAGATATGAGAAAAGGTTTCTGCCAGTTTCATACTTAAAACTGAAGGTATTTTATGCAGCTAGTTTCAGGGATTTAGGTAAACTAGCAATGCTGCTTATTCAGATAAGACCACAAAAATACAAATTCTCCATTTCCAACATAAGACATTCCTCCCCATGTTCTAGGCCAAGATCCCAAAACCCCACCTTGGATCAAAAGCGTTATCACGTGGCTAAAAATGGCACAACAATCCCTGCTACCTCTGGTCTCCGAGTTTAACTCAGGCCCTTTTACTGAACGAATTCTGTTTACCCACTCTATCGCACGGCCACTCATAATTAAAAGGAACCTGATTTAAAGATTTGAGCACTTCAGCATGAACGGTGATAGCAGTGCTGAATGCATGCTGCTCAGATCCAGTTTAGAGGCCACAAAATCATTTCCATTTCCATCCCTCCCCCCAACCAGTCTTCAATTAATTCCGGAGCATCTCCTCAGCTCACCACTTCCTCCAGGCACCTGCTCAGGGCGTAAGAAATTTCCCCCCGCACCTCACAGCCTGCAGCACTGCGGATCCCCCACGTGGGAGTGGTGCTCTGTTATCTACAACCCACCACATGTGTGGATCAATAAAGGAATGAACACACTGATAAAACCAATCCCTGGAATGCAACTCTCCGCCCCAGCAGCACAACCCATCAGGACAAGCCATGGGGACCCCCCCCACCCCCACATTCTTTCTTCAGGAAGGGGCGCAAACCAAGAGCTGACAGTGTGTCCCCTTCCTCCTCCTCCTCTCCTGTTTTCGGAGGTGTTATAGGTGGTGGTGTGGATTGGGGGCTGGGGGGGAAGGGTGGGGGGAAAGGGATAGGGGTTGTCTGCAGACTGAGAAGTCGGGGAACAGTGGATCAGTGAAAGGGGATAGGGGTACCAGGGTTAAGGAGGGGCGCACTCACTTTCTGATTCATATAATAAGGGTCCAAGTCCTCCAGTGGTACCGCCACCATACCCGAAGGAACATCACCGTAGATAAAGGGCAGGCTGCGGCCTGCCTCCAGGTCGCTGTTGGGGGAGGGCTTGTTCTCATCGTCGTCGTCACGGTGACTGCTGTCGGGCTTAGGAGGCTTTTTGGCCTTCTCCTCGGTGATGCGCTTCTCAATGTTAGCCAAAGATTCCGGGGTAAACTTGCGGAAGCTGTCAGGTCCTGGCGGTGCGAGAAGGTGTGCAGCCATGTTTTCATCCTGCAGCAACTTCCTCTTTAGTTAGGTACCATCCAGGACAGCCAGCTCTGCACGGGGGGGAGACAGGGGAGAGAGACACAGGGTCATCAGTCCTACAGGAAGAAGTATTTCGGCTCAGCTAACAATGTCATGATCGGACCCTTCACTGCACTAGCATATCATTAAACCCTAGCCCTTAACTTGTTTTCTGCTCATACAAAGGAAGAGAGGGATCCCTAGCGCTGGTCCTAAAGGTCCTGTACCATAAAACCACCAATTTTTAAAGATATGGAACATTTCCACTGTGATCAATTAAACAGGCAATTTCTTAATTTAAAAAACACACATTTTTTAGCACTAAAATCTAAGACCTCTTAGAGTTCTTATAATTGAACAGAGGATCTGACTGATTCATCAACAGCTTACAGGTGAGCCCAATCTTTAGATCCTGTCGAGCTCAGGACCAGTGCTGGGCTGTTCTTAATGTCAACTGAGCTACACAATTAAACTGAAAAATTGCTGTATTGAAACCTATGCAAGCTTTTGCTTCTGACTCAAAAGTTGGACATCTTAAATCTGCAATCAAAAGCAAGAGTTAAAAGGCAGCCTCACATCTGTTCAGGTACTGAAAAGAACTACCTGAAATTAATCCTGATACCAGGCTCATGAAGGATTCAGTTAAGAAACAGACCTCAGATGGAATCAATACCAGTGGGTCTGGGGGTCACCAGGACCAAGAGCCCTTGGGTGAGTTGATGGTACGCAGGACCATTAGGACAATTACATTTGGGAATGATTTCCCTGCCCTTGGTGCTCTTCTTCGAAACCAGAAACCTTAGTATCCAGAATCATCTACAGATCTCTTTATGATGGTTCAAAACCCAATTTCTCATGGAAGTATACTGCTGGTTCAAAGCAGAGCCCTGGCGTATGCACATATTGCCATCTTATCTGTCCCAAAGTCAGGTTCCAAGTGCTTGATATACTAATTATTAGGAGCAATACAGCACAGAAGGTGAGTCTTTGGACTCATTAATGGATGCTGCACATTGGTGGTGGTGGGTGTCACATGCTCACCAGTCCACTTCACGCAATAAAAACCAGGATGAGATCTGGCCTGATGAGCTGCTGTGGCTCAGGTCTGGACTTTGAGCAATTATTCTGACCCACGTAAAATGACACGTGGACACCAGTGGTCCCAGCTGAATGGAAATACACCCACTCAGCACTGTTTTTCCCATACAGAGAGAGAAACAGTTTGTCTACAGGGTCAGCCCTCTGTTCACAGGATCTCTACAGCACTGTGCTACCAAAGGTGAAGAGAAAGAACCTTTTCTTACAAAATTAGGGAAAAATCTGCCCTTCCACCCTCATAAACAGGCATTTTTAAAACCTACTGAAAATCCTTCCCCCCATACCCCTAGTATTTGTGGAAGTATTTCAGCAGAGCAACTGATATGGCGTGGGCTCCAACCCAGATCCATGCAGACAAAGCCTCTTCAGAACATCAGAAAGACATGGGGAAAGATCAGACTTCCGCTCGCTGTCTCTGCTCGTCTTCACGTGCTCCTGAGCAGAATCGGCTCTGCGTTTGAAGATGAGGGCAAAACAACTGCTGCGGCATACGACTGGGATTTTTTGCTCCCTTTTCCAGAGAGACAGAAGAGGGTGGGGGGAGCACTTTCGCACGAGGGAAATGCTTGGGAAGAATTTCCACCAATGCCCGTGCACGCTGCAGGAAAGCAATTACAGAGATGAATCGGCACAGAAAGTGCTGAAAAGCCTCCTCCCCCACAGAACCCGATTTGCACTGTTAACACAGAAACCCTTCACCACACCTCATGGCACCAAGCACGCAGACATCGGTGAGGGGGCAAGCAGGGGGAGCCGGAGCCCATCCCGGCAAGCAACCGGCACAAGGTGGGTAACACCCCGGACAGGACTCCAGTCCATCACACTCACACCAGTGAGACAGTCAACCTACCAGCATGTTCTTGGACTGTGGGAGGAAACCATAGCACATGGAGAAAACACGCAAACATGGATTGAACCCAGGGCCCCAGTGCTGTGAAGCAGCATTGGTAACCACTGCGCCACTGTGCCACCAGTCTCTGTACCCTCCGACAAGAAAGTGACTTACAGTCCAAAGTGACTTAAATTTGTACCTATTTACACAGCTGGGAATTTTAAAGAATCACCTGAGTGAGGAATCTTGCTGAAGGGCTCAGCAGCACAGGATTAAGAGCCAGAGTCTCCCTATTGACCTGCTGCCTCACCATCCCTCCACAATGCTGCCTCACCACCCCTCCTCACTGCCTCACCACCCCTCCACACTGCTGCCTCACCACCCCTCCACACTGTTGCCTCACCACCCCTCCTCACTGCTGCCTCACCACCCCTCCTCACTGCTGCCTCACCACCCCTCCTCACTGCTGCCTCACCACCCCTCCTCACTGCTGCCTCACTGCCTCACCACCCCTCCTCACTGCCTCACCACCCCTCCACACTGCTGCCTCACCACCCCTCCACACTGCTGCCTCACCACCCCTCCACACTGTTGCCTCACCACCCCTCCTCACTGCCGCCTCACCACCCCTCCTCACTGCCGCCTCACCACCCCTCCTCACTGCTGCCTCACCACCACCCCAAGGCGAGGTGGTGAGGCTGACCCTGGCAACAGGCTGCCGTCGGTATGGGGCTGCGAGACCGTAGCGCGACCGCTTGCCAGGAAGGTCGTCGCAAAGAAACGCTAAAACTTCAAACATTCATCAAACGTTCACATTGAAATTTCCACTGTGTACCACACACTACCCGTGTATGAAAACAAATCATGTTCTTAAGTGAGACGAGAAATACGGGCGCGGGAGCTCCGTTTTGTTCTCCCCAAAGCAGGTCCTGGGCTGGCGGAGTGCTCGGGGGGTCTGTTATCGTCCAAGGGCCGTGAAATAACAGTTCTTCTCATCCCCAAAACACACTATTATATGAGATTCACAGTACATACACTATATATATACACACACATTATACTTTTTATATCATCTGAATTATTTTAACAATAGCAATCAAGAATCAATAAAAATTAATATTTTATTTATAAATATACGAGCATTTTATGCCACTTTATATACACGGTAAATATACCGTGTGAAATTCGCTAAAGCACACATAAACGACACCAATCGTAAGCATATGACCGAGCTCTATAGGGCACCTTGGTTACTCCTGAAGCTCGGACCTACGTAGTACTTATTTCGCCATGCGATATTACTCCATTTATTATCTTGCTGTATCAAGCCCACGCTGCCGACCAGAGGTAAATTTAACGCGTGAATCGCAAGTCGCCGAGGATAAAGGCATCTGCTCAACAAACGCCCTTGCCAACAATGAAATAATTGCTTTTGAAATGCAGGCAGACACCGAGGGCTCTTGTAAAAGCGAAGTATTTTTGTGTGTTCCTTGATAGGGGCGTTAGAGTGTTTTGATAAACGCCGAATAGCAACTTACTGTCTAGCGTGTTTTGCTTTCCAGATCATTTGAAGTTTCTGATTTGTACGTTTTACGACATATGACTGCGCGTTTCCACGCCAGAATGTCGCCACAACATTGAAGGATAGCGGTGTTTAAGTAATAAATAATAAAACGATTGTATAATGTTCGAGATTAAATGGGAAAGAGACGAATAGCCGGATGACAATGAAATATTTTATGAACGAATTCATTTTGTATTGCAGGTTAAATTATTCTGCCTAAACTAAAATCCAGTAGGAAATCGTGAAGGCAAGACATTCCTTCAGAAATCATATTATTCTTGCGAAAAATTCAAAGAAAAAAAATAAAGAAAATATCGCACTATATGTAATAATGTACGTAAAAACTGTACAAAACGACAAACCAACATTTGACCGACTTTTAAAATCTTACAAACTAGCGCAATTAACAAACCTCGGAACCTTTTAGCATGTTAAACCCTTTTTATACTTTCCACGGTATCTTGTTTCATTCGGAAGACAAACAAATACAGTATACCATTTCCAAAAAATGCCACCAATCTGACCAAGAAAATGGAAATAGTTTAATAATACATAATACATATCGAGCAGCAGAGACGCCTCCTAAATCATTATTCTATTCAGGCGTTACCAACATGATAATATGAGTATTTTTTTTGTTCGAGAGAAACAAAAACGGTTTAAAAATAAATTGAATTTAAAAATAAGAATAAAGACCTGAACCGACTAACATGCAAAACACTTAAGGCAACAACATCAGAAAACGAGTGTACTTCCGTACAAACTACCTGAACTAAGCAATTTCGGAAAAGAACGGTTCAGTTGCCAACAGCAAATATTTAAAGAGGGAAAGCAGTGTCGACTCAAGGAAGAATGGTTCGGAAACCACTCTGGAAGATTTTGTGATTCGCACCACTTTGCGTTGAAACTCAGAGAACCGATGGTGACGGCGGCCTGATCACACAAGAACATGTTGAAAAGTCTCCCACAAGGTCAGCTCGGTGTGGCGTTCAAAACGTTCTTTCTAACACAGCGTCAGAAAGTCAGAGTTCAGTCACTGAAACGCCTAGCTGTTACTTTAACACGGGACTAGCTGGCCACTATCTGAATCCACGTGGAGCCGATTTCAGCGAAGGCTGTGAGAGAAACTGTCCGAGAACGGACACGTAGGTGTTTCTCTGCTGCTTATTCCACTTTGGCATTTGTGCTTCAAGAGGCTTAAGAGGAACGTGCAGACGTTGATCCCAAGCCGAACAGTAAACAGAAAAACAGGACCCGTTTCATCCGTCACGCCTCTTCAAGCGTGTGCGGAAAGAGGAGCCAGCCGTGGTCAATCAGCGGACACTGGCTCTGGGACTAGAGAGCCCTGCGGCCACAGACAAGGGCCGTCACCTCGCAGGGAACATCGCGGTGTGCTGGACACTGTCAGATAACATCTAGACCCACGTTTCCTCCAAACCCTGACCGACGCCATGCTGACTGGTCCCCGCAAGTTCCTTGAGAATCACTACCGGGTAAAGACTTTTCTCGCAAAGGTGGGAGATACAGCCTGAGTGGAGAGTTAGGAGGGAGATTTTTACTTTACAGAGCCGATCCCTGGAACAAACAGGGAGAAACGCTGCTCCGGCCGGACCAGCTGGGAAACCCAGGACAAAATATACTAAGGGGCAGGAGAGCTCGTCGACAATGCGCGAACGACTTTTAAAACAGGTTGTCACAAGACAGCACACCTGCTGCAATCTGAGCCCCCTTACCGAACCGAGAAACCGTCTGCACCGCCCAGCATGCTCTCGTTTCTGCTCCGATCGGTACTTTCCGCTAAAACATCACACGTCTTTTCCACATTCTACAATATCCAAATCACCCATTTTCGTCCAATGACAGTCAGCCTTCCTGATCAATACCTGGGTTGTTGTTGTTATTATTCTTATTCGCTATTCAGGCGGACCCCTGTTTCCGATTGCAGCGGCCCTCCTGTGCGGGAATCCAGCCCCTGTGTGTCCCCCAACCCCCTGCGGAAAAACGCACAATCCACACTCCTGTAGTCACGACACAGATCCCCCGTCACCCCTCCCCACCTCCTGAGAAATGGGGGTCGGAGCTTCTAAAAAGAAAAGGACTTTCCTCATCTTCTCCCCGAGCTCCTCACCCCCGCCGTTCCCCTTGCTGTGTCGCTCAGGGTGTATTTTCCCGAGGCCAGTCAAGTCACTAAGTGTGCAACGTCAGCAGGGGCCTGATCAATGAGCAAGCACGTGCGCCGCCAGGTGGGAGCCCGACCGCACCGCTCTAATAAGAAATTAGAATATGAAAACGTAAAACTGCAAGTCGAGCAGGCTTGTCGCTTCGTTTTCCAGGCGCGAATGCGGATCCGTGCCCCATCAATATTTTGTCCATTGTCAAGCATCTCTTAGCGCTGTCTTCAGCTCAACCAGCTCAGATGTATAAAAACGTCAACATCGTGGATACAACAGATCTCCCCACTATCTCTGAGGAAAAGTCACTCGCATAAACGAAAGCAATAGGTAACAGCACGCATACATTCCACAAACCTGAACACCCTGCTGCTTAGTTTACCCGTTTTCAAAGGCAGCAAAGATGCATCTGTTTTACAACATGAACATGAACGCAGAAACACACCTGTCGTCTGTGTGAGGAGACGTAAATGGGACTGAATAAAAATCAATACCAAAGAACTGTTCCCATCAGCACAAAGGAGCTCTCGTACTCGCGATGGTCTTTTCTGAGTCGACTGACACAAGCGTCCCGCCTTAAAAGCTGCTCATTGTTCATATTTCCCTCAATGCTTTCCTCTGAAGTGATGAGATTAAGTTTCGCAGGCACATTTGCACCAGTTTCACGATATTTTAAACTTGTCGGATCGGCAGGCGAGCGAATCGCATATTTAAATACAAATCACAACTTTTTTTTGTAACAGCGGTTTCCATTATTTATTTGAAAACGGGGGACACCATCGCTGACTGAGGAGACAGCGAGACCTCCGGCAGGCCGGCCCGCTGCTCCGGCGCTGTCCGTTTCAGCACCACAAGCAGGCTGGCGGAGGCCGGGCAGACTCCCTGCAGTCCTCCGCACGCACAAACTGCGCCTGCCCTTTCCTATTGACTCCAGCACGTTTCTCCGACTGGGCCGAGAAGGGAGTGGAGTGGGGGGCAAGGCAGCGGCTGGGACGGACACTGGCGAGGGATGCTGGCGTTGGGGTAAGGTATGACGGATGAGCGGAATCTGGGGCTTACTACAGAGAGAAATCGGAGGCGCGTTACATGTCTGAGTAATGGAGACACACGGCGAGGATACAGATCTGCAGTCGGACGAAGGAACCCCAGCAGGCCGCAGGAAGATCGGATTCGCCCTTTCCAGCGTACAGGAGAAAGTCAAAGTGTCTTCTCGGCTGCAGCTTGGAAAAAATCAACTTGTGGTTCTGAATTCGTCACTGGAAAGCTATGTGCTGATATCCCGGTGGGAGACACTGCTGTTTCGCCATTAGAACGAGGTACTTCAATACCAGCTTCAGCAAGGTATGCTCTTGTATAAATGATTCCAAGGAATGATCGCTTGGGATAAAAGCACCCTCTTCAATTAATAATATATTCCAAGGCGACCGCACTCCCCCGCCCCCCTCAACCGCCAGGCGAATTCCACTAACAAACCTGAATTGCTTCATGTAATTCACAGATGGACCCCGTTAGCCGTACGACACCGGTAAGAGGGGTAAATACAATGGAAATCCGCCACTGTCACGCTTTTCATTTAGCTCCGGATCACCGGTTTGCAGCTGGGACGGGCAGTTACTGGCAATGGTGATTTTGCCCTCTGAAACGGCGCGCCTGGCGTTTTTTTTTTCCTCCCGTTTCTTCTGGATCCCCGAACACCGGGCACGGATTACATAACAGTCACAGACAGAAGCACGCGGAGGGAAGCAGCTCACCTACACGCAGCGGCACAGCAGGCACGACACGCACTGGAGACCGACCGACCGACCGCTGGAGAGGAGCCGACGACGGCTTTTGCTTTTCGCTTGTAGAATATCCATGTACACAAATTTCATCATCTCAATATGTCAAACGCAGATCTGATTAAAAAAAAAACTACAGGGCACATCACCAGCGTCCACGAAGGATCGATCATTCCTGCATTTATTTTCGTAGTTGAGTAACTATGTTGAATACAATCCAACCGGGATGTTTCCGATAATGATTGTTTTGGACAGGGCAAGTGCAGTTTAATACTTTTAGTGCACCTGTCACACCGACACGCACTGTCTGTGTCTGTTAATATACTTCAATCACGGCAGGAAAGCAGTACTGGCCTGAATGCGGATGTCAAACACAGGTATGACAAAAACAAAAATAACAGCCACCGTTAACGAGAACGCAATGCAAAACAGCCATTCGCCAACCACAGAACAATGCATTTCGTGAACAGAAAGCTGTCACCTTCAAGTGCATTAAGACACGCGTGGAGATCTATAGATTTCACACACGCACACGCTCAGCCGTACATGCGTCGACCATACATGCATACACACGCGCGCGCGCACACACACACAACCACTCCAGCGTGCGGGCCACAGGCTCGGAGAAATACTGCAGTGGGGGTGTCCGGATGTTTCAGGTGCTCCGTCCCGAACACCAGTCAATCTCGATCACACGCAGTTACAGCCACCGCTGGATACAGATTTACAAGCCGGGCAAAGCCCGATGCGCATAACAAGCCCCCTCTCGCTCGCGGCGTCCCGGTATCCCGGTGCTAATTAGGAAACGATCTGCTTTTCCACATACCACTGTAGTGGACGTACCACACCCGTAATGCCCACACCACCCTCAGCATCAACGTGCATGGCAGCAAGGTCCAGTCGGATCGACGTACCGAAGAGGTTTTTAAAGCGCTTATTTTTAGAAGGAGGGCGGCATTCCCACTGTAAAACGCTAAGACTTTCAAACGCATTTATTTCCTACAATAGAAGCCACAGCAGAGATGTGAGGGAGGAGAGGGGAGGGGGAGGCGCTGGTACAGGACTTCATTACTGGTCTAAAGATATTTCGTGGCAATGAGGTTCGTCAGTTTCCACACAGGTAACCCCGATTTTCACAAGAAAGAAACCGCCTCTGGTTGATTTTCACCTCCCATGAATTTCTTCCAAAAGGTGAACGTATGACAAGCACAACCCCCCCCTCGAAATCACCGACCCCCAAACCCAAGGTATGCGTAAATTTCACATTTCAGCACCGCGAAATTACATACCGTCCTACCTCAGGCCAACACCCCGGTTTGACTATTTTCTGCATTTTCCAACCCAAGACATCAATTCCCTCACCCGACATCGCGCGGGGGGTGTGAAATGAGAGATGTGTGTTTTTTTTTCTTGATGTGCGAAATTCCATATGCATAGCTGTTAAAGCTGTGGCAGCCAGCCTATTGGAAATGCAGGCAAAAAACGAGCTGGACAGAAAACTGCTCTGCGGCATTGCTAGAAATGTTTTAGACGCCGCAGAAAAGGCGCCTAGAGGCGAAAAATCCCCAGCCGTTTGACAAAAGAGGAGGTTTACTTACTTTTGAAGTGTTAACAGAAATCCAGAACGGCGTCGCTGGACTGCAGATGTCGAAAAGATTCAGGAGAAACTGCGGTTGTCGCCATATTGTTGCTCCTATCTTCCTTCCCAGTGCGTGCTGTTACCCTGCATAATTGATGACTCTCAGCAAAATGTTAGGGAGCGTCGGCAAATGCCTTGTTTAAAGCGGCTAGGGACCGTAGATTTGTCCACAGGAATATTACTTCAATAAAAAGAACGAATACAAAACCAAGGCTGGCAGAAAGATTGATTTCTATACATGTATGTACCTGTGTGAACCAGTGACACAGTGGTTGGTTGGCCATGGTGCCTCACGGCGCTGGGGTCCTGGGTTCAATTCCCGAGGTGCTATCTGTGTGGAGTTTGTATGTTCTCCCCATGTTTGCATACATTCCCCAGTTTCCTCCCACAGTCCAAAGACATGCTGGTGGGTTAAATAGCTTCTGGGAAAACTGACCCTGCTGTGAGTGTGTGAATGTGTCTGTGTGACCTGTGATGGACTCGCATCCTGTCCAAGGTGTACCCTGCCTTGTCACTGTTGTTGCCTTGTGATAAAGCATTAAAGAAAATGGATAAATGGCTATATGTACCTTTATAAACAAAGGTAAGATACACAGTTGGGTAGAAACTATTTTGTATTTATCAAAACCACTGTAAGGAAGAGTAAGAATCCAACACACTATGTCCACTACCTGTCACTGAGATGATGCCAGTGCAATGCAGGAAAGGTTCAGGTGCTGAGAAGCTTGAACCCAGAGGCAGCGGGGACAAGCTCCACGCTGAGCAGGAACAGTCATGAGTGGGTGTCCTAAACAAAGTTCCAAACCAACTCCTACATAGAAATATATACAGTGCCCAGGGCCTTCTCCCACAGAGTGGTGAAAAACACCCAACCATGAACATGGAATCCTTATAATTAAATACATTTACTTAGAAAACTGGATGTAATTAAAACTCATCTTCATACTCCAGCCATCCATTAGCAGAAAGACAAGTTCTGAAAATGGGAAAAACTCCCTCAAAAGAACATCAGAAAGTTTAAAAATGAGGAGTCATTCTGCCCTTCTGGTCATTAGTAGCTTATTAATTCAAGGATCTCATCCAGTCGTTTCTTGAAAGAAACCAAGATATCTACATCCAAAACCCTTTGTATAGAGAAGTGCCACCTCAGTTTTAAATGCACTTCCATAGTTTCCTCTTGTGTCCTCAAGCTCTTGCTTTACTGCTCATTCTGAAGACATCTGCTGGGTTGACTCGATAGGAGCCTTTAAGGGTTTTCAATACTCGTGTCAGGTCTCCTCAAAATATTCGCTGTTCGAGATTAAGAAGGCTCCATTTCTTCAGTGTTTCAGTGTATGACATTCACTTGAGCCTTGGAATGTTCCTTAGACAGAATGCCTGCCCATTGCAGAGCCGAGGAGAAAGAGATTATATAGTCTAGCTAATTCACACCTATCCAGGGTTTTTTTTAAACACTTGGTATAAACCAGAGCAGTCAGAGAAAAATCTCACAGAGACGGGGAAACATGCAAACTTCACACAGACAGGCCCCCCAGCCCAGATTCAAACAATGGAGCTGCTAAGCAGCTGTGCTTTCCTCCACAGCCCTGTGCCTTAAGAGCCCTTTTGCATTATCCAGTTCTCAGTTGGTGAACTGGTAGTGTGATTGATGATGATCTCAAAGGGCTTTGTATACAGGAGGGGACCCACTACTTCCAGCACTGAAGAGCAGCACCACCTGCGCAACACACAGCAGCCCCACTGCACAGCAGCTCAGGGGGAGAAGAGAGACGCTGCTGCTCCGGGTGGATTAAGTGGGAACTTTAGAGAGGCCAGACTGTACCACCTAGAGTGTAATTAAGGCAGGACACCAGGGCTGTTTGTGTATCCTACTCTTACAAACAGAGCCCTGAGCTCTTTAATGACCAAGTAGTCAGGATCTCAGTGCAACTTCTCATCCTATAGACCACACCTCATACAGTGTACTGTGCCTGGTCACCATACTGGAGGTATTGATTTTGAAATTCTGATCCAGATCCACCAACACCTTTTACAGTAGCGACTTGTTTTCCCTTTGTAGTCTCCCATCCAAGCGGTGACAGACTCAGCCTTGCAGAGCTTCTGAGATCTGATCAGTCAAAGCTACAAGATGGACCAGAGACAACCTCTTAAACTATTGATGGACAACCTGAGCTTTGAGTGCCACATACAGCCCATGGAGGCATAAGCAGTGGTCCCTCAAACTGGACATCTATTCATCTTCTATCCCCTTCTTCAAATACAGAGTTTAGGGGGAGTCGGAGGCAATATTGTCCACAATGGCCACAACGGAGGGTATACCCTGGATGGGACACTAGTCTATCACACCAGGAAGACACACACACTCACACCAGTGCTAACCAGAAGCCAATTAATCTACTAACATGTCTTTGGACTGTGGGAGGAAACTGGAGCACCTGAAGGAAACCCACGCAAACACAGGAAGGAAATACAAACTCCAGAGAACACGCCAAATTAAGAATTGAACCCAGGGTCCCAGTGCTACGAGACAGCAATGCTAGCCACTGTGCCACCATGTTGCCCTAAACTGCAGATTCTAAGTTAAAAACATCAATTGAGTTAAAGATGCTCATGGGCTGGCAATCAGTGGTTAATTGTACTGCTGGAGGTCTGCTTGAGGACCACTTGCAGCCACCCCTTGGCACTACATTCTTGGCCCATCTCTGCCCTGCAGTGGTGTTTTTGCAGGTCTGCTAGGCAATGGGAACAAAGAGCTGCAGTGTGAGGTACATCTACCTACCACGCCACTGTGCCGCCCACAGCTGTATTGTTATTTACTTACTGGGACACAACCCATTAGCTTCCTTCATCCAATTCATCTTCCCCTTTCCAAGGTCCAGTTTTCCATCACCGTCTGAAGATATGCTGTCAAGGTTAAGTCGCATCTCTATATACCCCTCTCTATGTGGGAGAATAACCTAAGACAGGCGCTTACATACTGCAACAAGGACTCAGGACCAAGCAGAGCCATGTGTCATTTCGACCCATTTTCACTCAAATGGAGCTTTTTGAATGGGGACTTGATCAAGGACTCACATCTTAATAGATATGGGCACTTGAGTCAAAAGCTGTAAGGCCAGTCATAGGTTGGATAAGCCCACATGATCTTTATTTTGCCTAACTATGTCCAGCAAGGATCATCGCTCATGGTTATGCCATGTTTTGCAAGCAGTCGCAAGTGCAAGCAGCCGCGATGAATTAGTGGAAAGAATTAAGGTCAAAGCAGCCTGATTAGGGTTCATCAGGTGGGAAGAGCTAAATTTGACGTTTGAACCAGTTGTGCTTAGCTGCTAATATTGACTTTTTATTTGCACAAAGAAATTGGGAGACTCTTTACAGAGCGGTTTTTAGTGTTGAGAAATGGTGAGAGCTTAATTGACATATACAGTACCTAGATTCAGGACAAATACAATCCCATGTGACGCCATCTTACAGAACTGTCACAGCCCCAAGGGCCAGCTGACAACAGAGTCACAGTCTGCAGAAAAACACTGGGGAGCAGGCGGGGAAAGATAGCCTTATTAACAGGAAGTCAGGTTGGGAAGAATTATTTTTCAAATAGATGAGGGATTATGCACAATACAGACAAAATGACCAGGCTGAAGAATACACAGCATTAAAAACATAGAGGCTTTGAAAGTGAAAGATGAATTAGAGAAGGAATCCAATGAGTTGAGCCCAATTTAAATGAATAACAGTACAGCTGTGTGCAGCAGTGTGATGTGGCAGTTAGCACTGCTGCCTCAGTGCTGTGCTCTTGTGTTTGGTACACAGCATCTGTCACACATTACATGTGCATGTTTTCCCTATGGCCATGGGGGTTCTGTCTGGGTGCTCCGGTTTCCTACCACCATCTGAACGTATGCCGTTTAGCTTAACTGGCACTGCAGTGGACCAGTGTGTATCCCGTCTGCTTTGAGAAGCCTGGGCCATCTGCAAACTGTAACTCTTGAATACAACTGTGGGCATGCAGAATTATTACCTGATTATTATCTGCAAATAACGTTTCTCCATTCCTTTGTTATATGTAATAAATACTGTTTATTTAACTATTGTTTCAAAATTAAACATTTGCTGAAATATAGTTATTAATTCACTTGTGAATAATAAAATGTACTGAACTGCACAAATAGTAGTTAAGATTTTGTACTGAATTAACTCATCTAAGACAAAGGAGTCCAATATTTAGATCAGTGCTTCTCTAAAAGCCTGCAGACCTTGGGTAAGGAAAGGGTAAGGGTCACTGCTGCTTAGCAGCATTTAAATTCCCAGCGAAACGCTGTCCTTTCTGCAGAGGAGGCACATCCTCTCCCATTCAGCCCGCATAGGCTACTTTGCAAACCTCTTAGCAAATGAATTATGAATGAATGAAAAGAGAAAGCAAGAAAAATTAATACTGGGGGAGGGTGGCTCTGTAAGGAGGTAAGGAGGTGTGAGTCCTAAGTTCAAATTCCAGACAACATCAGAACCGAACCTCCCAGGGCCCAAGAAGCCACAGTACTGAAAGGCTTTGTCTCAGTTCAAGGCATTGGTCTTAACCTGCCACAGCAAATCCTGCTACTTTGAGCAACAGACAGCATTATAGGACCCATAGACAGCAAAGTCCATCTTCAGACATCACTGACATAGGGAAAGGGGGAAAAACTGCATGACTTTAGTTTTAAATTGATTTTTTTTAAAGTTGATTTTGATATAAATTTTTCCACACTGCCTCACGACCCCTCCACACTGTTGCCTCACCACCCTCCTCACTGCCTCACCACCCCTCCACACTGTTGCCTCACCACCCCTCCACACTGCCGCCTCACCACCCCTCC